TCACCTTTAGATGTAGTACCATCATCTTGTAAGAGTAGAACTATCCTCACGTACAATTAAATATTAGTCCAGCTCTCTGAAGTTCAAACTTCTGCAATTCAACTTTAATTTGATTTCTGCTTTCTTCCAAGCCACAGTTCGTTTATATAGACATCTTACCATTCATTTTATTTTTATCATTAGATATTTTATTTTATTTTGGTCGAACCAACTTTGTCAACCACCTAATGTTCCTTTTTCGTATTCCTCGAAATCTTGTCATTCTTAATCCCATGATAAAAGATCTACGTAAATTCCAAACATGTTTTCTACGAGTCCTGAACTATTTCCTAATGTTTTAAGTACTATTGCTCTTWAAATTAACTCGGCTATTCTTCAGCAAAAAAAAGGGAAGAAATATATAAATAAATCATAATAATAATAATATTTCAAAGTGAATTTACTTCATTGGTTTTCAAAACACTTGAAATTTCCTAATTTCTATTTCCTAATTTTGATTTGGTACCAGAAATCATTCCTGTTTTGGCGCTAGATTTTTGTTTCCTTGTTTTTCAGGTTCCCATGGTCACCACACGCAAAAATTCCGCCTTAAAAGTAACTTCCACTTTAAGTCTGACGTAAAAGTTATTAATATCAAGTCACGTAAAATTTATCCTAGAATAGCAAGAATATTTTAAGATGGCAACCTAAAGTCAACGATAAAGTGCATTCAGTATTTTGATAAAGTGACACACCCGATCAAACAGGAACTGAACAACATCACACGATTTTCGTACGCGGAGATCTAGAACGAAATCGTTCATTTCCTAATTCTGTTATTTCCTTTTTTGAAAAAATCCCCAGCTTGCTCATAATAGATGTACACAAAAGTAATATAAATAAGGCTCCTTCAAAATGATTTTAAATGCGACGTTTACGGAAGTAATTTATAACATCGTGCAAAAACGACAGTTGTAGCCTCGAAATTTTGTAATTTTTATTGACATAAATTATAAATCGACTAGTTGGTGATATTGTATCTAACTTACAAACGACTTTATAGTTATTTGCTTAAATATTGAGAGCCAATTTTTCTAATATGCACATCCTTTTTATTAAGTCAATAGTTAGCTTTCCCAGCGCCACGTTTGACAAGATGCTTGGCATTTTATTATCTTAGCCAGGCCAATTTATTGCTACTGTAACTCAGGTTGTGTAAGTTGTAATTTCCTATTAAAGTGCCTGTGACCCCTAACTCATTTTTTTCAGCATTGATTCTACATGAAGTTAAAAGTTAAATAGTAAAATATTTTTATATGATTTGAGTGATGCATGTTGGAGATATCAAGGTTTATACTCCCAATATGTTAATGATATCACGTCAAAGGAGGCATTATTAAATATGCAAAAATTTACTATGGTAGTAAAATATCCTGTATAAAACATAAATATCTTACTCAGGGTTTATAGAAGGTTATTGCAAATTTGTTTCCTCATTGTAATCAGTGTTTTGTTCTTAAAATGATGACAAATAAACCCAAATGCCTACTATGACATCACACTCATTAGCATACTGGAAGTATAAACCTTGATATCTCCAACATGCATCACTCAAATCATATAAAAATATTTTACTATTTAACTTTTAACTTCATGTAGAATCAATGCTGAAAACATTGAGTTAGGGGTCATAGGCACTTT